GCCAGGCCATACAAAAGGGGGCCATGCAGGTCTATCTTTTACAAACAAATGCTCCATTTGCGACTTACAATCTTCTCCAAATCAACAGTAACTAGCCCCTCCCAGTTGAGAGCGCGTATAACCTCAACAACTCCCATCCTGGCAAATTTCTCCTGGCAGACTTCGCAGCATTCCACTCTCACAACATCATGAACTGCCTCCACATTGACACTCAGTACCACATCATTCGTAGACAGAGGGTGGAATGTGCTACTCCCAATCCACTTCATAAATGATGATAAATATCTATAGCTGCCACTGGCCTTGGTTATATATACATTTTTCAAGAAAAGCTGGTCGTCGCCTGTGTGGCCTTAGACTTGGATAGCCGCCCTGGTCCCTCCCTGGGATATGGATCCCTTGCAGATTGACGGGAGCTCCCGACTCCCTTCCCGTTCCCCAACACGCAGTGCTCTTCTTGGTGGTCGGACTCGTTGGAAGTTGGAGCGGCTGTTCTCCAAGGTCAGGAAGGTGGACGAAAAAAGGGTTTAGCCTCCCCCATTCGTCGCCCCTCCATTCCCTGCTATCTGCTGGCAGAAAACTGTGTCGTAAGTGAGCCAGCGTCGCCCTCTGCATCTCCTGGCCTCTCGCTAAACTTTTTAGTACTCGTTCCGGGTACTTACTGGCGACCACTGATGTGAACAGCCCTAAAACACTGCACACATCTCAATACTTCCCTACGAGTGCGACCCTGCAAAGAGGAGAAGCATGAACTGGTCGGGTCCTGGAGGACTCCCCTCCCCTCCTCTCTTCCTCCAGGTTGTCCTGCAGGAGCCCAGCCATGAACTCCCCTTTTAGGATCCACCCCGCCAACTTCGCTGGCGTTGGGGGTAGGCCTTCGCTTAAAAAGAATGGTTTCGGTTGTGGCTCTTTCTTTTAAGTCGATTTCTCTGCTGTCTTCTGTTGTTCTGGCCTTCTCTTTGGTGTCCGCCTCCTCCTCCGGCAGGGCATTGTCGCCTTCCGGACCTTGCAGTGGAAAATTGTTGGTTGGATTGATGTTTAAAGTGCCAACGTCATCGGATCGCTTGTGGATCCTGTGAAGAATGATAACCGATGACACAATGTGAGGGTGCGTCAATTCTCCTGCTCTGCTCCACCTATGTATGAGATTATAACCGTCAGTGTTGTAGCACAGATTATTATATTACATAACCTTCCAACTCCTCTAATAACCACATAAACACATATATTATGTGCCTTGCTCTTTTACAAGATCGGACGACCCGCTTTGTGAGAACACACAGTTTCACCTACTGTGCAAAGCACATTATCGCTGCCATGCATCTCATGCCTGCAGTACCTTTCTTACACAAAAATGTGACGGAGATACTTGCGTAGGTCTTCCAGAATTCCTGAATCCTGTGGACCCTTTACTAATTCTGCCTTTATATGTTCTGAAATGGTGTGACATACAATATATATATATATATATATATATATAATATTGTGGAGTGTAGCACATTTGAGTATCATTGTGTGTTTAATTCACAATTGGTTTTGTGGAGCCACAAGCAAGCAACGGTGCTACAACTGGTTTTTATTATTTTTCAAAAAGGTGATCTGACCATATTTATCGCCACACTAGCCATGTTAATTGCCTTCTGTAAAGCCTCCTGAATTTCAGGGTCTGATATCTCATCCCGAGTCGCAACTATAGAGCAGGTATCCACACCAGTAATAATTATTCGAAAGCGTTGAAGAGCAAAGTATTAGAGTCGGTAGACTCTCTATATAGGGATGACACGGGTGAAATCTCACGTGATCCGCGTACAAAACGACTAAAAAGTCGGTGAAAATGACTCCCTAGGCCTTCAAAACACACTAGCAATAGTCTACGGGCCCATATCTACCTATACATGTCCCCCAAGACCTCATACGCACCTTCAGTCGTCCACTCGAGAATTCGCTCATACGCGATTTCACGATTTTCGTGTCATCATATTCTTCTTCTTCTTTAAACCCGCTATCTCCTTACCAGTCCCAGTTCAAGCACTGATTTTTACACAGAAGGTCTCCAATTTCGCCGGAGGTGTGCACGGACATCGAGCGATCGTTTCTTTCTTGCCGCTACGGTAGATCTTGGAGCTCTTCCATGGTCGACACTGAACAATGCCATTTGCTGCTAACTCAGCATCAGTGAGCCGCGCACATGCGCCAGGCAGGGGTGTTGTCCAATGCGCTTGCGAGCGTGTTACCAGGCGAGTTGGCAGACCTGCAGAGGAACTCTCAGCCTCCAGTACCTTCTGTAGGTAAGTGTGCACATTTCCAACTGGCTAGCTTGCTGTTGATTTGCACGAAGAGCAACTTGCCAGAGTCTGCACGGTGCCTTGGGGGCACTCAGTCAAATGAGCCTTCATTGTTTGTCACTAGCAGCCCCATTAGCTACTACTTTCAACAGTTACAATTTGTCTATGGTAGCCTATCTACAACATGCCTATAAACATCAGAGGTATAGGGATGGTGTCATGTAGCTTTGTGCAACTTTGCTGTGTAATGACCCCTTGTTTCTTCCTTTTTGGTGCTTCAAGCCATCCCTATATCCCCCTTTCATTTTGAAGAAATGATTTTTCCAACAGCTTATGACAACACTGCATTTATTGTTACAGTCACTTTGTTTTATTGTTTATAAGCAAAGTTTAATATCGAACAAAGATATAGGGATGGTGTCATGTAGCTTTGTGTAACTTTGCTGTGTAATGACCCCTTGTTTCTTCCTTTTTGGTGCTTCGAGTCATCCCTCTATCCCCCTTTCATTTTGAAGAAATGATTTTTCCACTTGTTAGCATTAGCGTTTCTACTTTTCTTTACAAACCATCCTAAATAAGCTTATTACCTTTGCGTTATTAATTATTACCTTATCAAATCTTTTCAAACCCAACTAGACGAATGATGAATTCGCCATTGGCCAACTCGCCGTCAAAATGCATTTAGGGCTTGATTGTTGATAGTGGGGCAAGTACACTAGTGGTTGTAGCATGTTCATTAGTTGATGTTATTAACCCTCGGCGCGCATGCGACTGTAGTTGTCGTGTTTGTCATTCATTCATTCATTCTGTCAGTTAAGTGAGAACTCACTTCTCCAGTCATAGATTGCGTCCAAAACGGATTTACATACCCAGCGGCCGACGGAGGTCAGAAAATATGTGGGATTTTCTCTGAAACTGCTTCGTTGCAGAGCTAAAGCGTTTTCCTGTTTGTACGGTACGGCAAGGGCGGCCATTTTAACAACGCGCATGTGTGTATGCACTAAAACGCACGCGACTCCGAGGCGGCAGGCGGCCAAAGCGGGGCACGCTGATTGGGACCACGTGGCCTGCAGCCATTTTGTTTTCCCTCACCCGACACCATCCTCTGTCTAGTCCTCTAGCTCTCTGCCAGGAAAACTGCGAGCATACATTGGTGGTCGATCAGAAAGCAAAGATATCTTGGGCACGTTTGTCGTCAAAGGTGTCATCTTTGCTCTCATACTTATCACTGCTCGCGTGTGGCTCTTTGACGTGCTCTTTGACGCGCCTCACTAGGGTATGAAGAGAGCTGTGAAAGTGGTCTCTAACGCTGGAATTATGAGACGGAGCTCAAGGTCAAGGCGATGGTTTAGGTGTCACGCTCAGAAGACGATGGTGTGACGGCAACTCTACTACTCTCAGCACTTGCTCGAGCCTTCTTTGCGGCCACTAGTATGGCACTCCTCCTTCATCATTTCTCTTGGTGCTGCAAGACCTTCTGTCTTCCATCTCTGTAACTCTCTCTCGGTGGCGCCGTATTGCGACAAAATGCAGACGTGGTGCGAAGTGTAATTATGTCATCCTATCCATGCTAACCACGCAAAATCGTAAATCTGTATGGTCAGATTTTAGTTTTCAGTTAAAGGACCAAAAAATGCTAAGGTGTCGTTTTATGCTGGTTGTACCTGTAAACACTATCAAATTGTGCAAAACATCATTAACCCTCGGCGCGCATGCGCAGCTAGGGTTGTAGTACTTGGTTTGTCCGTCTGTCTGTCTGTCCGTCTGTTACCACGTTTTCTGCCACCACGCGCAACAAACAGGTAAAATAGCGACACCAACGGGTTCAGCGCTACACTGGCTTTATTTTAAAAATGGCGATTTTCGTAAAAGTGCCGCGTTCAGAAGTTATGGCGTGAAAACCAAGTGAACAAGCCAATATGCTAATTAGAATGAAAAGCACTAAAGTGCAAACCCTCGGCGAACTGCGCATGCGCGGTAGCACTAATTGATGGGCTGGGCTTTGTATATCTTTACCCGTGGTATCCCGCTAGTAGCTCGCGGAGAGTCTGACACAAGCTAGGTATAGTAGATAGCATGCGGGTGTCGATACACGCCCTTCGTTGTGACTTCTTGTGCTTGCAAGATACACAGAGCGAGCGGACGCGGTGGAGGTAAGCCTGCGCTAATTTGCATATTGGCTTGTTCACTTGCTTTTCACGCCATAACTTTTGAACACAGTTGTTATACGAAAATCGCCTTTTTTTAAATGAAGCCAGTGTAGCGACGAACCCGTTGGTATCGCTATTTTGTTATCTCGTTGCGTGTAGTCGCAGAAAACGTGGTAACAGACAGACGGACACACTTACGGGACAACTACCGTAACCCTCGCTGCCCATGCGCGCCGAGGGTTAACTAGTTTACCTCGACCTGATCTGCTTGCTCTGTGTACCTCGGAGGCACAAGAAGTCACAACGAAGGGCGTGTATCGACTCCCGCATGCTATCTACTACTGTAGCTAGCCCGTTTCAGACTCTCCGCGAGCTAAGCGGGAGTAAACGTATACTAGTAAAATAGGCCCAGCCCATCAATTAGCGGTACCGCGCATGCGCAGTTCGCCGAGTGTTTGCACTTTAGTGCTTTTCATTTAGCAATGGAAATAATATGCTTGCAGGCACAATGCGCGACTTCTATATACATGTTGAATGCACTTTTTTTCCTGTTTGTTCCTCCTAGGTACTAGTAAAGGAGGAGCTAGGCACGCTGATCATCCTTTGTGGTTCAGATTCAATGAGGGATTTTCTAATGCTGTTAGACGACCAATTAGAATACAAGAACTAATGTGAATTTCTGTGTGTGTGTTATTTTTAATGTTTACCTAGTTGTGTATAAGCTTGTTTTTGTAATCATAATTATAAGCACGAGAGTTTAAACCCTTGGCCCAGAACCATGTTCCTGCAACAAAAATTATGAAGCGATATTCGCCGAGTTAGGTTCCTCAGACACAGTGGACTGTAGTGCATATATAGTACAACAGTGAGGTTTCCCTATTCCTTGCGATGGTAGCAAGTTGAAACTAGCCGGATAACTACACAAGCTACTCATTTTCAAGACCATGACATGTGAACAGAAGGACTGTTTGTCAACAAACAACATTCTCACATGCAGAGACTAACATCACTGTGGGTAATGAAGACAGTGGTGCTCATACTCACCAAAATAATGAAAAGCACTAAAGTGCAAACCCTCGGCGGTAAACTAGCGAGTTGTAGCATCGCTGTATGCTGGGCCGTGCGTCATCGACAGAGCCAGTAACACGAGTTTCACCGTAACACAGGGTAGTTGCATTAGCGGTTAGAGCAATTGCTCAGGTGTTTCAGAGGCTCTCATATTTGCTTTATTCAATTTATCTGCTCTTCTGTGTTTCAATGCTCTCACCAGACGTTTTATAGATGGGAAGGCAAGGCCGCAACCACAAACTGCTCGCCACCTGAACTATCTCAGGGACGTTAAGGCGCGTCCCGAAATAATTCTATGCACACTTTACGCACAACGTAATACAAACGATACAATAATAAATAACGGAAAATAAAATAAAATAAAATAAAAAAGAAATGATGCATACAGACAAAAACATGTATAGCTAGAAAAAAAAAAAAAAAAAAAAAAAAAAAAAAAAAAAACAGGCCCAATAACGTATACCGTAATACTCTAATTTTGCGTACTGTACGTAGAAATTTTAAAACGTAATTCGCGCGCGCCGGCGATTACATGTGGGGGTCGATCGATCGGGTGTGAGCGCACAACGTAACGGACCTGTGTACATGTACCTAAAACTATGCCTAATGTTTTTTCTAGTGTTATGAATATAGAAGAAGCGCAGACCGACGCATCTCTAGCTCTGTCATGTCAGCTGGTTGAGTTTTACCGCCGCGCGCATGGCTGTAGGGCGTATGCGCACAATGTTCTCACCTTTGACCTCAGATTCGTTCTAGAGACGCAGCAATCGCGCTGTACGATTAACTAAAACCGGGCAACGGTAAGTGGAGAGCAGTGACACTACAAAAACACTTAAGTTTTATGGCATTTTCTGCTCAGTTTATAGCATCTTCTGACTCAGTGTATGTCAGTACAAGTGCACAAAAATAAGTGATGTACAGAAAATCCCAGAATACTTGTGCTACGTTTGTGGGTTTTCAGTACATCACTTATTTTTGTGCACTTGATACACTGAGTCAGAAAATGGCATAAACTGAGCAGAAAATGCCATAAAACTTAAACGTTTTTGTAATGTGAAGGAGCTATAGCTCTGCCTTCGTAAGACAGCTGACGGAAAGCTCTTTCACATACTCGGATTTGAACGGTCGGCTCTTATGTTTAGCGGAGGTATGAGTCATTTGCCACGCCATAATTGTAGCCGGTAACCTGAAAACCATCATAAGACGGCTACGGGAAGGTTTCGTAAGTTCCCATTCAAAATAATTATAATGACTTCGCTACTTGTTTTACTGTTTGACATAAGTGAAATATTCCTTCGTTGGCTAGTTCCTTACCGTTGCTAGTCTAAACAAATGACGTAAAATACGGACGGTACACGCCCACTATGGATCACGTGACCTTGTTTGTTGGTGTGGTCGATGTTTGTTGTTGTTTACAAACACTTGTTCAGGTTCGATGTGTGTAACCCCTTTAGTTTTGGAGATACAGCATTTGGGTGTTTCCAGTGCTGGGACGTGCCTTAATGCCCCTGAGATTGCTTGCTCAGCATGTTTATCGTTTATCCATAGGGAACAGAGATCAAAACTGACAGGAGGCCGTGGATCGTATACAACCAAGCGCATGCTCCGGCGATTACTTGACATTACGCGTGCGCGCTATATAGCTATATAACCTGCAGGAGAGGGCGCGTGCGCGATCGACCGCGCGTTGGCTTTTTCGCTTGTTTTCACGCCATATCTCTGGAACGCAGTCGGGGAAAATCGCCACATTAATATCAATCTTCTCGCCGTTAACAACTCGTTGGTGCCACTCATTGGCCACCTCGTAGCCTGTAGTGCTAGAACTCGCGCGGACGGACAGACGGACAGACAGAACGACTACTGTAACCCTCGCTGCGCATGCGCGCCGAGGGTTAATTAAAGACGTCCTTATGTCATGTCTAAATTCAGGTCACTACTCAATTTACATTGAAGTGCAAACCCTCGGCGCATTGTGACGCGCACGCGTGAGTAAACGCATGCGCTGAATCACTAATGGTTGGGCTGGGTTAAGTTTTAGCTGTTATATACTCGTGGTCTCTTGCCCGCTCGCGCAGAGTCTGACGCGGGCTAACTACACTACTAGATAGCATGCGATAGGCGATATATACACGCCCTGCGTTGCATCTTCTGGTCGAGGTATAATATACGCAGAGCACGCGGATCGATTAGACCGCGGTATATAAGCCTTCCATATTGGCTTTTTCGCGCTCTATAATATAGCTTTGCAACGGAGCATTTTCAGAAAAAAACCCCCAAATATTCTGACCTTCGTTGCCCGTTGAGTAGGTCGTATGGTTTGTGAGACGAACAAACACTCGAGAAGTGCTATAGTCTTTGTTGGTTGTTGCTGGAATCGCTCTGGCTCAAGAAAACGTGTCAATGTTATGTGAGCCTCGGTTCTTACATAGACAGAACTGGTGTTGTAAAATGCAACTAATTTACAGATTTGAGGCTGAGATGTGGACTAACAGACAGACAAACAGACAGACAGACCCAACTACTGTAACCCTCGCTGCGCATGCGCACCGAGTGACGAATCCCATGGAGATATTTGTGCCAAAACTAAAGATCATGGTCCATCCATTTTGTTAAGCATAGTCACGGATGGCCACTTCTGTGGGGGCTTGTGATCACCCTCTGACACTGCTTCAGCCACCTTATAACTGATACCTACAAGGTAACCGTTTTTTAGACACATTCAGTGGTCAGATGGAAATTACTGCCGAATAGGTCGTTGATGGTTTTTCTTGACTGTTGGAATAATAATGGTTGGCAGCGGGAAGTGCAAAGTTGAGAGGGTGAAGGAGGGGTGGAAAGGAAAGAGCAGCAATGGGTGGAGGAAGAATAATTAACCCTCGGCGCGCATGTGCAGCGAGGGTGCTGTAGTTAACCCTCGGCGCGCATGCGCAGCGAGGGTTACAGTACTTGGGTCTGTCTGTGTGTGTGTGTGTCTGTCTGTTACTCTCAATCTCACTTCTCGAATGTCTGTTCGTCTCGCAAACGATACGACCTACCTAACGGGCAATGAAGGTCAGAAATTTCGAACGGTTTTCTCTGAAAATTCTTCGTTGCAAAGCTAGAGCGCTTCCGCCATTGTACGGCTAATGCTAGTCGGCCATTTTAATCGCTGCGGAAAATGCGCATGCGCTTATATTTTCAACAGGCTCAGGTCCGCTTGCTCTGTGTATCTTGAAGGCACGAGAAGTCACAACTAAGGGCATGTATCGACTCCCACATGCTATAGATAAGTTGTGGTATGCTCTGCTGATGAGGACCAACAAGCCTGAAACAGCTGTCCAGAGCTCCGCATCTTTTTTCTCTTGGCATCACATGGTGTATTTTGTTCATGCTATCTACTACTGTAGCTAGCCCGTGTCAGACGCTACTAGCGGGAGTATACTACATACTAATAGCAGCCCAGCCCATCAATTAGCGTGCCCAGTTCGCCGAGGGTTTGCACTTTAGTGCTTTTCATTGGGTTTGTCTCTGTGTGTGTGTGTGTGTGTGTGTGTGTGTCTGTCTGTTACTCTCAATCTCACTTCTCGAATGTCTGTTCGTCTCACAAACGATACGACCTACCTAACGGGCAATGAAGGTCAGAAATTTCGAACGGTTTTCTCTGAAAATGCTTCGTTGAAAAGCTAGAGCGCTTCCGCCATTGTACGTCTCATGCTAGTCGGCCATTTTTATCGCTGCGGAAAATGCGCATGCGCTTATATTTTGAACAGGCTCGGGTCCGCCTGCTCTGTGTATCTTGAAGGCACGAGAAGTCACAACGAAGGGCGTGTATCGACTCCCACATGCTATCTACTAGTCTACTGTAGCTAGCCAGTGTCAGACGCTACTAGCGGGAGACCACGAGTATACAACCCAATGAAAAGCACTTTAGTGCTTTTCATTGGGTTTGTCCGTGTGTGTGTGTGTCTGTCTGTTACTCTCAATCTCACTTCTCGGGTGTTTGTTCGTCTCACAAAGGATACGACCTACTTAACGGGCAATGAAGGTCAGAAACTATGTGTGGTTTCTCTGAAACTGCTCCGTTGAGCGCGAAAAAGCCAGTATGCAATTAATACGCAACGGCTTACCGCCGTCTCCGTACCTCGGAGGCACCAGAAGATGCAACGAAGGGCGTGTATCGCCTCTCGTATGCTATCTAGTAGTGTAGTTAGCCCGAGTCAGACTCTGCGCGAGCCTGCAAGAGACCACGAGTAACAGCTACAACTAAACCCAGCCCATCAATTCCAAAGTTCCAAAGTTCATGTTATGAGCCCAAGAGGGATACAACGATTATGCATACAGAAAAATATAAGCATATATAAATGACGTGAACATGAGAAGAGATTAGAGAGAATTGGAGAGGGTAGTGGCAATCGTGAGGATGTTTTCGTGAAAACCTCCTTCAATGGTTTCCAGAACTCCCAAGACAGATATGTCACTGTTGCAGTGGTCTGAGCTCACGTGCTCGAAGTACGAAGTGCTCTGGTGGATGATGTTGTTGCAGATGGGACATTCTCCCTTTCCAAACACTGGTCTGCACATTACACTCAGTAGATGTTGAGTTAAACGAGTTCCACGAACTCCGTGATCTAGGGCGATGTCCCATAGCTTGCACCATGAGGAGGCAATTCAAGGGTCCGCAATGTGCTTAGTCGACTGGTGACACTTGGCCATCTCTAGCACAATT